CTGGGTAAGGTGGAGGGTCAGAGAAAAAGAGGAAGACCCCCAACAAGATGGATCAGCCAGGTGGCATCATTGATGGCATCAAGTGTGGCAGCGGTTGGCCCAGGATCGGACATTGTTTCATTCTGCTGTACATGGAGTCGCTATGAGTCGGTTCCGACTTGATGGCACCTGACAACAACTTTGTACATGTTATCAGTAGGGATCAATCCCTAAAGAGGACATCTTCTAAAAGGAGGGAGACTCTCAACAAGATGGATTGACACAGTTGCTTCAACAATGGGTTCAAATTTAGCAACAGCTGTGAGCCTGGATTAGGATTAAACAGCATTTCATTCTGTTGTACACTGGGTTGCAGTGATTTGGAACCAACTCAAATGCACATAATAGTCTTTATGGGAGAAGATTGCCATGTCTTTTTCCTGCAGAGCAGCTAAGTGGACTCAAACTGTCAAGATTTACATTAGTATTCTACTGCTTAACCATCAGAGGTCCTTTCTAGATTGTTTGTTGTTAGGTGTCATACAGTTGATTTCGACTCATAGTGAGCTATGCCCAATAGAACAAAACATTGCCCAGTCTTGTGCCATCCTCACAACTATTGTTAACTTGAGCCCATTGCTGCTGCCACTGGACCAATACATCTCTTTTGGGGTCTCCCTCTTTTTGTTGACCTTCCACTTTACCAAGCATAATGCTCTTCTCCAGGGATTGGTTCCTCCTGATAACATGTCCAAAGTATGAGAGATGAAGTCTGGCCATTCTGACTTCTAAGGAAGGCACACTTCTTCCAACACAGATTGATTTGTTTTCCTGAGAGGTACTTTTAATATTTTTCCTCAACACCATAGTTCAAATGCATAAATTCTTATACAGTCTTCATTATTAATTGTCCAACTTTCAATACATATGAGGCAATTGAAAAAAAATTATCATGGCTTGGATCAGGTGAACTTTAGTCCTCAAACTGACTTCTTTCCTCTTCTACACTTTAAAGAGGTCTTGTGCAGCAGATTTGCCTAATGCAATGAATCATTTTATTTCTTGACTGCTGCTTCCATGATTTTGTTTCTAAGTGTCATACAAACTGGGAACTAACTTGAATTTAGTGTTGGGCATTAAATTCCTATGGTAACAAATTTCATTCTCAATCTATTATGGTATTTTACAAATCAAAGGACTCTATTGTTCAGCATTGTTGTTGTTGTTAAGTGCCCTGGAGTTGGTTACAATACATAGCCACCCTGTATAAGGGTTCCAAGGAGCCACTCACTGGTAAGGTAAAAATAGAGGATATAATGATATACTCTTGTGTTAAAGATATATTTTTGATATATCTTTATATATATCTAAAGATATATTTTTGTCATCAAGATTTTTCAGTTATCTCATTAGACTGAGATGGTCTGTTTTTTAAAATGATCATATCTACTTTTTCTCTTTTTAGTATCCCAATGTGTTTGTTGGTTAACCAGCATCTTAGTCTCCTAGCAAGAAAGTTTCCAGAAACTAAATTTGTTAAAGCCATTGTGAATAGCTGTATTCAACATTACCATGACAATTGTTTACCAACCATTTTTGTTTATAAAAATGGTCAGATAGAAGGCAAATTCATTGGAACTATAGAATGTGGAGGGATAAATCTCAAACTAGAAGGTAATGATATAATTTTTTTTAATTGTTCATAAAAATAACATATGAAAACAGTAAATTAACATATATCATGAAAGTTTATTTTCTTGGAATATGAGGCTGTCTTCTTACACTTTGTCTTTTCTTGTACACTCCCAGATTAATTTTCCTACAATTAATTTGCTTTTTGTGTAAAACACCAATGGTTCCCCATCTCAAATAAGAAAAAAATTATCCTCTGCTTCAGAATCTGAGCTAACCTATCCAACTATATTTCTCAGTACTTTCTGTTCTGCCAACTCTACCTCCAGACATCATACTCTTCCTCTGTACCTACAACACTCTTGTTTATTCTCCCTGTCCAAGAAACTCTAAGGAATTCTGATATCATAGTGGTTATGAGTCAGGCTGCTAATCTCACAATCAGCAGTTCTAAATTACCAGCCATTCTGTGAGAGAAAGATGAGGCTTTCTGCTTCTGTGAATATTTACAGCTTCGGAAACCCTATACAGGGTCGCTATGTATCGGAACCAACTCTATGGCATACAACCACCAACACCACCAAGCAACTTTTATTTTCTCCGGTTTGCCTCATTTCCTGTGTATTCCATTATGTAATTCTGGATCAATTTATATTCTGCATTCCTCTTTATTGGCTTTCAGTAACATATATTCTCTATAGAATTTACTTTTTGCTTAATTACGTTCTATACAGTTCGACTGCTAAATTAATTCCCTTTGAGTAGCAGCATCTCCCTAACAAGTGTAAAGACCATGCCTTGTACTATTTTCTTTTTCATAGCATACAGAACAGGACTTTATTTATAATTTTTATCATCTTCAATGATTCCTAACCAGTAAACCAAACCAAAACCAAATTCACTGTGTTTGAGTAGATTCCCACTCATAGCAAGCCTATAAAACAAGAGTAGAATTTCCTCATAGGGTTTCGAAGGCTGTAATCATTATGAAGGATAATGTGCTGAAGTGTAAGGTCAGTTTGAACTGCAAGATTGGCTATTCAAACCCCAAAACCTTCCTAGGAATCTCTATGGGTTGGAATCAACTTGACGGCACTTAACAGCAACAACAATCCTTATGAAAACAGACTGTCACATCTTCTTTTCCTGCCAAGTGACTGTTGGTATGAACCTGCAGCATTTCAATTAGCAGCCAAGGCCTTTAAACATGGTACCACCAGGGTTCCTCTACTCCTGACCTAGTAGCATCCTAAATTCATCACTCATTTATTTTATTGATGTATAGTGGAGAATGATGTTCTCAACAGCTACTCTTTCACATTGTCATTCTTACAAAAACAGTCTTTGACCTTCCTGAGACCTTGAATACCTCAATTGTTCTGGAATGCCATCTTCTTGCCCATTTAGTTTCTAATGTCATCCTTGTTTCAACACTTTATTTTTCCAACTAGGGGTGCAGCCTTTTAGTTAAAATTTTATGCATAAAAAGTATAAAGAATGACATAGTAAGTATTCATGTAATCATTATCCAAAAATAGCAAATGTAATCAAAACTGAATACATTTGCTCTAGCCTTTGGTTTGCTGTTTTCTAAATAAACAGTACAGAAATGATTGCTGATGTTATTGTTGTCAGCTGTTTCTGAGTCAGTTCTGACCCTGTAGAGGATTTCCTAGGAGCAGCTAGTGAACTTAAACTGCTGACCTTACAGTTCAAACTGACTTAGGCATATGCCTGTAGGATAAGCGTTGGATTGCTAACCTACAAGATTGGCAGTTCAAACCCACCAATTGCTCTGTGGGAGAAAGATGAGGTTTTCTGCTCCCATAAAGATTTATAGCTCTGGAAACCCTGTACAGAATTACTATGAATTTGATCTAACTCAATGGCACCTAACAACATAACAATATTTGTATTATAAATTTGAAACTATTCTATAAATGGATTCTATTAGAGTATCATTCTGAAATTTTTTGTTTTTAATTCAACAACATTGTTTTTGGAATCTCTTGTTTCTTTCATACAAATCTGATTCAGTAATTCTAAATTCTATCTAGTATTGTCTCATCAGATCTACCACAATTTATTTGCCATTCCCCTACTAATAGGAATAAGGAGCCCTGATATCATAGGGAATTACAAGTTGGGCTTCTAACTGCAAGGTCGGTAGTTTGAATCTACCAGTCAGTCCATGGGAGACAGATGAGGCTTTCTGCTTCCGTAAAGATTTACAGCCTCAGAAACCCTATACAGGCTGACTCAGTAGCACACAACCACCACTGCCAGCACTGATAGAAATATGTTTCCAGTTTTCATATTATAAAAAATTTGACTTTAACTATCATTGTGTCTACTTGTGAAAATTTCTCCAGAATGTCTAGGGAATTGTGGGATCATACAGCATATGCACTTTAAATTTTACTAGATATTGTCAAATTGCCCTACATAGCATAAATTTATCCTTCCCATCAGCCATTTGTCAGAGAGTTCCATTATGCACATCTGCACCAAATTGTGGTATTATTACACTGTTGTTTTTTTCCCAATTCTGGATATGATAATGGTACTTTGTTGTTTAAATTTGCACGTCCCTGATTACTAGTAGAGTTAAGCGTTTTTTTTTCATATGTACTGGTTATTCTTAGTTCCTTTTCTAATTGTTCATATGCTTTGCCCATTGTGTTGTTTTATTGATTTATAGGAGCATATGTATGTTATAAGGAGCTCAGGTAATGTAGTGGATTATGAGCTGAACTTCTAACTGAAAGGTCAGCAGTTCCAATCTACCTGTGGCTCTGTAGGAGAAAGATGAGGCTTTCTGCTTCCACAAAGATTTACAGCCTTGGAAACCCAATGCAGGGTAACTATGAGTCAGAACTGAGTCCACAGCACACACCCAGCACCACCACCATGTATGTTATGGATTAAACTGTGATCCCCCCAACTATGTGTTGATTTGGCCATGATTCTCAGTATTATGAAATTCTCCTCCATTTTGTGATCTGAGGCAATTATCCTTTGTGTTGTAAACCCTCACCTCTGTAGTGTTAATTAAAGGCAGTTAGATTAATGAGGCCAGGTGCAATCTATAGGATTAAGTTGTATCTTCAGCAGATCTCCTTAGAAAAATAAAGGCAATTAAACTGAAGCAGTAGTCAAAGGGGACCTACTACCACCAAGAAAGAAGAGCTGGAAATAGTCTAGCAGTACTGAGAAACTGCTAGACCCAGGGGGAGATTGGTGGCAAGGACTTCCTCAGAGCTGACAGAGACTCTTCTCTAGAGCTACAACCCTAAATTTGGACTTCCAGCCTCCTAAACTGTGGGAGAATTCATTTCTGTTTGTTAAGGCCATCCACTTGTATTTCTGTTGTAGCAGAACTTGAGAACTAAGACAGTGTGTGTATTTCAAGAATGCTTATATGTATTGTTAACATACTCTCACCAACTATGACTCACCATTTCATATTTGTTGTCAAAGTTATACAATTGGCATAATTAAATTTACTACTCTTTTCATTTATTTTGTACTTTTTGTGCTTGCTTTTAAAAACTCTTCTCTGTTCCTGAGGTGTAAAAGATTTCCTGTACTTCTTCTAATAGGTTTAAAGTTTTGTTTTTCACCTTGTTGTTGTTGTGAAGTGCTGTCGAGTCGGTTCCAACCCATAGTGACCCTGTATAGGGTTTCCTAGGAGCAGCTGGTGAGCTTGAACTGCCCACCTTGCAGTTCAAATGGCTTTGCAGTCTGACGCATTATCCCACAGCGCCACACCAGGACTCTTGAAAAATATTGGGATTTATTTTTTTGTATGATATGATGTGAGATATATATCTCATTGTGGTTTTGATATGTATCTCCTGTTTGTTAGTCAGATGGATATCTTCTTTGGTAAAATGTCTGCTCTAAGCCTTTGTCACATTTTTTTTTTAACTAGGACTTTTGTCTTTTTTTTTATTTAGTTGTAGAGGTTTTGCAGATATTTTAGATATTAGATCCTTATTGAATATATGGTTCTCAAAAATGTTCTTCCAATCTGTAAGTTGTCTTTTTACTTTTTTGATAAATTCCTTTGATCAATAAAACATGTAATTTTATGAGGAGCCCATGAAGGATTTAGTATTGATCATTATCTTTCCATATTGTTTAATTAGTTCTGCCTGGTATGTGTCTATTAGCCTTTTCTTTGATTTCCTTTGGTCATCCTTATTGTTTTTGCTTTTCTAGCTTGCTAAAGTCTTCTTTCATTATATCCCTTTTCTGTCTTCCTTGGTTTTATTTTATTCGTTTCCTAGATTCTTTACTTGAACTTTCAAATCATTTAAATTCAGTTATTTACAAATAATTTTGACCATACCTTTCCCCTTTACATAAAAAAGTGTTGTTGTTGCTGTTAGATACCATCAAGCTGGTACCAACCTTACGCACAACACAATGATGTGTTTTTGTTATGTACTTTCATTGTCATCCAGATCTAATTATGTCATCATTTCCACATGAATTTTATAAGTCAGCTTCAGTTTCATATAGGCGAGAAATTCTTTTTTGTTATTCTTCTAGTATTTATATTTGATTTAATGATTGGTTATTTATTACAGAACTTGAATGGAAGCTAGCAGAAGTTGGAGCAATACACACTGATTTGGAAGAAAACCCCAAAAAAGGCATCGTAGACATGATGGTATCCTCAATTAGAAACTCTTGTAATTATGATGACAGTAACAGTTCTAACAGTGATAATGATGACACCAAATAGAAATATCTAATAAATGCCTTTAAAATACTTGTATACTGAGTAATCTGATACAA